AAGACTCTTGACGAGGGTGTTTTTTTCCCCAGTCGACCGACGACAATATCGCATAATATGAGACATAATATGCTAGCTTTGAGATTTTGTCCCCGCCAGTAAACTAAAAATATACTAAATGTTTCGTTGAGATTTGGTACAAAATATTAAATAAAGATTATACAATTTGTGTGATAATAACTGTTTCTTTTATATAATATTTACGATGTTTGTGTATTAACACGGGCTCTTATCTGATATGAGCTTGACACATTCAGTGACTGTCAGAACGTTAGAACTGTGACTATAATTAATGTTTCTGAAGAATTGTTACAATAAAGGTAGTAAAATTGCATTAAACGTGAAAATATTTGCCTCTCTCTGCGGCGGTGGACTTTTTAATTGTGCACCGTGTTCTTTTTTACTTATACGACTATTTTTTGTACTACAAAACTTTTTAGTTGGTTTTAGTAAACTTATACGTATATGGACGGGGGCGAGAAAGAAACGCCATTAATTCAAACACAGTCTGATGATTTTTAACTGCGGTTACAAAACGTTTTTTAAACACAACCACGCTGTTTATTACACACCTTGGAGTGCGCGACGTTAATTAAACGGGTCCTTTATACATTTTGCACAACGTATAAAAATTCTCCAGTGTCTACAAATACATTACATATTATAGAACAGCTTGAAAGTGGCAAAGTAACAGCGGTGTTATATTGTATAAGGGTGGTGTTTTTTTTTTTTTTAGCCGAGTATTATTAATTAATTGCTAATTGTTATGGGGTATCAACGAAACGAGGGGCGCGGGATGCGTTCTATCCTTCGGAGATTTTCGCCGCGGCCGCTCTTTGAATAACAATAATAATTGCATCGATGAACCGTTAATGAAATTGAATAGAAAATTATAAAAAGCAGCAGCGGCGGCGTCAACGCAATTATTATACTTTTGTGCTTGGCGAAACTTTCAAGCTCGATAATATAGCCATGACCCCACAATCAAACGCCATGCTTTATGGGATATTATTATTATTATGATATTATTGTTTTACTGGCAGTGAAAACCAGTGGACAAGAGCTGCTGTGCCGCATCAACGGATGTCGATTGTGTATTGTATTGACAAGTTTTAGCGCAGAGGCGTTTTTTGTATTGTGTATAATAATAATAATAATAGTTGTCGTGCAGCGGGGTGTTTCAGGTGGTGTACACGATGGGTACCTATTATATTGTTATATTATAATAGCCGGGCTGGTTATCGGCCAAAGTCCGCCCATTCGGTGTTCAAAGCTAAACAGCGTCTCCGTGTACCTGTTCAATAATAATATACACCCCCCCCCCCCCCCAAAGCGAGTTGTCGTCATCCGGTTAGGGTTGAACTTTCTGGTAAACCAGAATACGATGAATTATATTATTATTATTATAATAGGCATAACACACGTATAACGTTGGCCGGCAACGATCAAAAGGATATTATGCGGCGATGATGTGCTACGAACCGTCGTCGAGTCGCAGAATCCGCTCAACAACTTTTAGCCCGTGACTTATGGGCTAAAGACAAAGTTTGCCAGGAACCTCGGGTTAAGGGTCGAACAATGGACTTTGCCGCGCTCGTTTGTGGGCAATGTGTGTCCACGTGTACCGCGGGTCTGACCCAACCTGGGCGGTATCTATATTGTACTGTATAAAATAATATCTATGTAAACGTCGTTAGAGCAGGCAAACTCGTTGTTTTCGAAATGGCCAGCTCCGAGTCAAACAGAGTTAAAAAAAAAATTATGTCATGTGTCGTATAGCGTTAAAGTATACGATCGGTTCAATTTAGTTTCCCCGCGCCTTAGTGAAACAACTAAGTCTAAAAAAAAGTAAAATTAAAAAATATCCACTCTCCTCTCTTCTCGGGCGGCAGAAGGTTAATGATACTTCTTTGTTTCTATTAAGTAAGTCTATATATACTCCGAACTAATTCGATATTCACATTAAGGGAAAGTTATAGCGTGTCATACTTTAAAGTCGAGATATATTTGAAGGCGTTTTTATCAACTAAGTTGAACATGGCAAAAAAAAAGTACAAGGTTACATAAAATAAAAATATAAATTATAATATACACAGTCAACCGCATATTCTACAGTGGTTTCCCTAATTATATAACTTTTTCAGCTATAACTGTCAGGTTTGAATAATTAAATATTTATTTGGTTGAGACATTTGGAAACAGTATATTAACTTTGTTAGTTGCACCGTGCACAGGTAAACTTTTTCAATGTTCGATCAGTAATCTTCTTTGACGAACGTGTTCTGAATTATATAAATAATTTTCCAAAAATAAAGTGGTTTTTAACGTTAATTTTAATCAAACTGTAGTTATTACCAATGGTGTATAATCATCAAAAAAATAATCAAAAATACTTCTTGCAGTCCTTTATAAGTTTGGTTTTTGAACTGATCCGTTGTGTTTTATCTTTTGCGCGGTTAATGTTAATATTACAATATATTTTATATTATCTCGGACAAACATTTTGTTTCTTTACTCAAACTCCGCCGTTAATCGCACAGCGTGCTCTTATGTTGTACATAATAATACACACACATACACCGTCTATGGGTGTCATTTGCATACTGCACAGAGATAATACCTTGGAATCCGACAAAAGGATTTCCACTTTGCACGTCCGCCGAACCGTTTAAAATACTCAAGTACACTCACGTTGTGTGTAAGTTTCGGCAAAAGTTTAACCTCGCCGAATAAGATCCGGTACGGTGTCGGTTAACGAATTCTAAATGTATATTATTGTCAAATACCTCTGCGACTGCTCGTTTTAATAATATTACACATCGACCGAGCACAATCGACGCATTTACCATATTCGTCTCATTCGATGTAACAAAATCTCAGTAAAGTTCTATGTAACCGCATTATATTATTGCCAATACCATAATATATTGGTCAATGTACTCTGTTTGTACCAATCGCGGACAGAATTCTATGTATATATGTATATAAATAAAGTTGTAACGTCACCAGAGGTAATTTAGTATAACAAACTATAATAATTCAAAATTCACATGAAATGGTAAATACCAGACAACTAATAATAATAAATACAAATAAATATACAGTTAACGACAAATCTACATGTACCTTGCGTGACCGGTGGTAATGGCGGTGAACTGGCCGACGACGGTGATGATGCGACGATGAACGCGTATGGAGGCGCTTGTTCAATCCAAATTCGGTGTGCGTATGGAGGCGCGAGTGCAATCAGGATTCGAAGTGTGTACGGAGACGCGATTTCCATAAAAGAGGAAACAAATTGCCTACTGGCGTTTGTAGTAACGATAAAAAAAATTACAATAAAAAATGGCACACGCCGCGGAGAAGGTTATTACCGCCGCACCGTCAGACCGCTAATAAACTACACACCGGGCCGCTTATCAGCATCGGCAACAACAGCTGGTGGGTCACGACGGTGTGTGGAATTTTCCCATATTAAATTGGACGCAACATACTCCCAACATTAAAAGTGTAACTTTCTCAAATCAGATAAGAACATAATATTATGCCTACAAAGATCTTAGAGTCGAAAAATAGAAAAATTGCCGTCGCCAAATTCAAAACAGAGTAGATTGTCTCATCTGCAATTAATAGACCTAATTGGCAATACATTAATTTGTTTGCTACGCACAGGACATACCGCATGTCCTGCGACCAGAGTTGGACATTTTTTATTCGACCAAATCCAAGATGATTCATTCGAATACGAAAATTATTTAGATAACAATTACACTGGTCAACAGAAATTCACTTTTTGTGTGTTGCGTGAAAACTTTTGACAGATTATGTTAGAAACAATGGTTTAGTATAATAGAATTGATATTAGAATAATTTGGATACGAATAGTTTTATTGTAATGAATGTGGGTTACATCCATATCACCATCATTGGAATTCCAACACACAACAGATGTGAGGAACCTACACTTTGTCTTGTTTCTCGACAAGAAAGCCAAAATAACGTTCATATACATGCTTTTACTAATGGTGTAAAATTTTTCAATCTAGTTTTAAAAGTAATTTCACCACAAATAGAACAAAAGTTAGTTGTCAGGGTCATGTTTACACTTCCTTGACGTTATTCAAGAATCACTTAACTCGACAAACATAAAGCACTTTACTGGGGGGAAAAACACCTTGAATCAAAATTAGGTAAATTGAAATTAAGTATTTCAAAATTAGTAAGCACCTCCTTTGTTACAAAAATGATGTCGTTGACCAGTGTTAACTAAATAATGCCCAACTCCGCCTGTGAGCGTGGTACGCCTCAATGTGCAAGCTATGATTTTCCGCTTGGCCCGCTAAAAACCCAACACGAGTCACTGAATAAATTCAAATGCGATACTAGGTATGTAATATACAATGCGTGCATAGTAACAATATTATTATTATTATTATTATAACGTTATTATTTTGATGCCTTACGACCCAATTCCAATACAATGCCGATCGTATCGATTCCGAGGGTTGACTTTTGATCAGAATATTATGTCTTGCACGTACACGCTCTGATGGCGACCTCGTACGTTCCATTATATACATATATCCGAATGCATAACGTACAAAGGAGCTACACAAATCCGTTTAGACCGAATACTATATTAGACGGTTGCAGTTCTAACAACATACTGGCGAAAACGGAGCTGTTTATGATAAATAAACGACCAGAAACGGGGCCCACGTTAACACCACAGTACACGTGTAAACAGTATACTACTTATCACAGTATCGGTAAGAGGTAATTTGACAAAAAGTTATTATTAATCTAGTGTAGTTAATAGCAAACGATCAATCTGTGCCAACGAGATCAACGTGGAGTCAAACAACTATTATAGTCTTTTTCACGATGGTTTATAAATTACCACCACGGTCGACACTAAGTTTTTGACTTTTGACGTTCTAAAAGGCCAAAGGTACTCGCTACTATAAAAGTAAATTGAATAATAGTGTTGTAATACTCACTGCTCGTATCGGTTTTCAGTTGAGGACCCGGCGAAGTCGACCAGTTGAGTTTCATATCCTAGAAAAACAAAACAAAAACGGCTGTTATACCTACTAGATTTTATCTCGTCACAATAGTTAAACGTTTGGATTATGTTTTAAGTTTGTTTACGTTGCCTACACTTAATATGATAATGCCGTGTTTAACAACAGTGTGGCGTTTATCTTATGTCTGGAACAAGTTTATTCAATGTTGATGAAGGTAACTAGTTAAACATGCACAGCTCCTTAGACGTATCACAAGAGCACTATAAACGCTGTCGTTAATGGCGTGCCCGTTGTGAAATTGCTGATACCGTGCACCGCGTTCCAAGAGTTTATGGAATGTTTTAGACAAGGTTATACTTATGCCAAACAATGGAATTTACCCGAGCACGCCGTGATACCAGTGTACATTACATTATAAATTCATAATCGTTTGCAAGAATTTACCCTAAAAAATCCATAGTATTTTACGACGGTCTACATTCTTGTGCAAGGAATCAAATATTATGGACTAAAGAAAAAATACACTTGGCCACAACGTAGATATCACTACTCTGATAGATTGGCTTTTTTTGGAGAGGGTCTGGAACTTAGCCCATTTTCACGGTTAGGCCTTTGTTGGGGATTATTGTTGCTATTTATTTATTATAACTCCTAGAACGAGTTCTTTATTTCGCTTTTATTTGTAATGCTCGACTTAAGTCTGTAAACAAACACTAAAAGAACATCTGCTGTGACCCAAATACAATAACAAGTTCTTCAGAAATCGTAAACAATTTTTGAACAGAGCTATAGCCTATGCAATAACTGAATATTTTACTTTAAAACATAATATATACATTTCAAACTAAGCGATAAGCTAAGGTTAAAAAAAACAAAATGTGTTTTTATGATTCACACCTACAATATAAAAAAAACAGTACAGTGGGAACAGGCATAGTGGGGACGCAGAATTCACAGTTCTTCAAGAATTCCTCTATCTGATAGTGAAAAAATCACTTTCAAATAAAAGTTTCGAATCCTTAAGTATCAGTTTTTCAAAACTTGAGTATTCTTTACAAAGGACCAAAGGATCAAAAAAAAAATCAGTAGAACAATATACTAAAGGGCAAACTTTGTTTAGCGAGCTATTAATTTAGTTGATACAATGATAAACTAATACAAAACTTTTAAAAAAAACTATAATAATGATTGTTTATTATATTAGCCATAGTTATCCAATAAGTATCTATTTTCCAATAACGATTTGTAAAAAATAAAAATACATATTTTATAGGTACTAAAAAAGTATAATTGTATTTTAGCGCAAAGCAACGGCTAGAGGTTGTTATTTGGTTAAACCAACCACAACTACAAAATGTAAAATGCGTTATACCATAATAATATGACTTATTTGATGCGTTTAATTACAATTTTTAAACTGGTTAAAGTTTACGTGTTTATCTGTTTATCACTTTTACTGAATTTACTGATATTAGCCAAGTCGCAGCCGGCTAAGTGTACGAACAGCAAAAGAAAGAAACTTCATTTGTGTTCGCCACGTAACGAAAACCAAGATATAAAATATGTCTTCTCGCGTATTCCATGAAAGAATTCATTCTGTCTTTATAGAAATCGCAGAGGACCGGTATGCGACGTTGATCTTCATAATCGACCTGTAAAAGCTCTTGACTGGTGACAGAGTGTGCTGGATAGCATGTACGGTTCCAAATGTTGCCCAAGGACTTGGCAAAGTTCTCGATTTGTAAGTTAAAAAATGCTGCCTCGGTTTCTGTGAGACTATTTTTCACACTGGGGCCTTGTTGCTCGAGAAAACTATGTATGTCCAAAAAAATATAGTAAAATGGATTGACGGTGCGAAGCCGGCGGTCTAATCTGTACGTACGTGCGCAACAATTTGAATGTAGTAAGCGCACGCACCTTTTCTTAAACTGCCTTCAAAATTGCACCAACATTCTTTATAATATTTTGACAAATCACCGCACTCGATTCCTGTCCAGTAAGATATCCACAGAAAGTCAATCAATATCTTTCCGTAACCGCATCCCATTAACGAAGGGATTATTTTCAACTTGGCGGCTAACCGGAGGTTAGGTAAGTTCCATAAATCATTTTTATAAATCACGCCCCTGTAGGTGTTAATCCTAGTGAACCACCACATCGATTCCCAGTGTTTAGCTTGCCAAAGCTGGTTGACCTGTATGTACTTGTTATCGTTTCTACAATTTTGTGTGCACACTACAACTACTACGGTTAAAATCTTACCGGAGTAATATTTATCCATGGCAAATACCTTTGAATTTTTTGCTTGACGAAAACGCATATCACCTGCCTAGTCTATAGAGAAAACTAAAATGACTTAATTTATTACATAGTACTATGTGCTGTGTAGTCGACGACAATACTCTGCGCAAAAACAAACCGACAAGCAGTTATTATTTGCCTAAGACACATGTTTTTATCAAAAGTTACTAAAACGTGTAATAGTTATATCGCCAAGAATTTAATGTGCTTATATTTGAAACTATGTATGAGTAAAATAAGTAACAATAATATTGTATTATAATTTAACTGTGTGATCAATCTCTTAGCAATAGTTAAAACTTAAAAAAACCTAGTATAACATATGTATATTTATTTTAAATGTTATTTAACTTATTATAATTTGTTTTTTTAATTAAAAAAAAAACGCTAGTGCCTAGTAGGCGTTTTGTACGTGTACTAATGTTATTTTCATATTGACCAAACAACCAGTTTTGAAGTTTTAGTTTAGATATAAAGATATACTCTTGTTTATTTTTTTTAATTTGCTAAGTATGATGGGATTTAATGTCTTATGTAGACTACATTTACTTTTAACGATAATATTGTTTATAAAAATAAAAAAATAATTATAATTTAAATTAAGAAATGATACTTTACAGCAACGCCAACGCGGTATACCAGTAGATAGTTAAAATATTACTGACTATAAACAAAATATCTTTAATATTTATTGAAGCAACATCTAAATGGTTATTAAGTACCTATAAGTAGTTGATAAGTATTCCCGGTAAATCCAATGACAGTTCTGCTGAACAATCTGTCAATCTGCGCGATAGTCATCACAAAAACTTTCTGAATTAATTGCGCGTTTCGAAATTCCACGTGCTATTACTACTAAATGGTTTTGCAGCATATAATTTTATGAAATTTATCGCAAAAAGTTGGATAATAGACAATGCCAGGTCGTCCTACTAGTACAGTAGGACTACTTTTCCAAATACAAAATAAGTATAGTAATTAATAATACCATAATTCCTCTAATCAAAAAACGGTAGGTTGTTTATTTTGTGTTATCTTTCATCCTAAAGTATAAGCTCAGCAGTTTGATAAGTGTTAAGATGTCAAAACACTGCAATTACTGCTCTTATACTGTCTTGTAGTGACAAAACATTTGATAGGTTATTTGTATGCACAGTCGGTGTAGAAAAAAAAACTGAGTGGGTCACGGGACCCTTGGTAGGAACGAAGTTCAGATATCATATGGTTGCATTCGATTAATTTATAAAAAGTGATTGCTATAAAATCTTTTTATCATATGTATATTATTATATATTACTAAATCTCGCATTATATCATAGAAATTATTGATTTATGATGACTAAAATATGATACGTATATTTTTGACTCAATTTTGTTCAAATATCTGGAAAAACAGCATCAATGGTTGTACCATATTTTGTCGTAGATTGTGTAGGATCACTGTTCAGAGACAAATTAAACGTTTCGAAAAGACAATTTTATTCTTTATTACAAATATAAATATATTATAATATTATTTATTAAGTTCCGAAAGTCTTGTGATAAAACGGGTGAAAGAATTTTAATTAGGAATAAGAAATTTGTAAGCAGTAACACGTGAGAATGAAATTGAAGTGAGGAATAAGAAAAAATTATAACGTGCCAGGCTCTCATTCTCTCTACCCACCCCTCTCTTTAATTTTGATTACTGATGCAATAAATAACTATATTCATAAATTTATTTGTCAGAGAGTCACTGTTTCAAGCACCTCAGTAGATAGTGAGAAAAAGGAAGAGAGATAAAGAGCCAGTGCAAGTTATCATCCAGATATCAAGTACTTTTAAGGGTAAAAATGTATTCTGTAGTAATAAAATATAAATATTTTATAAGTTTTTAGACTTCTTGCAGTATAAATTACCATAAAAGTTGAAAAAATAGTTGTAAAAATGGAAAAAGTGTTGAGAGGAATTTGAACCCGGTACCACTCACTCCTGGGAACCGATCACGCTCGACCGCACCACATATAGTTTTCATAACGCTTTTTCGTAACGCGTAACATTTTTTCTCGGCTAGGTCCCCTCGCCAACCCGCGATAAGGAACTTCGTTCCAAAAATTAATAAAACCATGAACTATGGAATAATATTATGTTTACTCTTTACAATACACTTGGAACATAAATTGTATTAAATATTTTATTTCATTATTCAATTGTCGTTATTCAAAAGTCAAAATATAAATATGCTCTTTTAAATATAAATGTAAATTCTCAAAACTTATTTTTTCCAACGACAAATAATTGAATTTACTCTATTGTAACACCTGTACACGTGTCTTCACTGTTAACTTAATTTGTTTTGTCAACTGACAGTTATATCGGTTTTTTTTAAAGCAATTTTTTTTTAAATTTAATTCGTGCAAAATTTCAATTGCAATGATTATACCAGCCAAAAATTGTTTTACTATTTCTATTACTATTTTTCAATTATTTAAAAAAAAATTAATTTGTTTTATTTTTTAATCATTAATTTTGTTTTTAATATAAAAATATTGATCGATACATTGAACAATATTGTATAATAATTGATTTGACGTACAGAACTAACGTTTTATAGAACTTAATCCTAAGTTTTTTGTGTATAGACTTTTGTAAATATATACATATTCGTATTTGAAATCATATGAAATATATTTTATTAGAAACATCCTAAAATAAACTTAATGACAATTTTTCGGGAACCTATGGTAAAAT